GCAGAGGATTAGCTGCAATAATCTGATCCTCCAGTGAACCCTATAATCCAGGTTTAGAAATTCAATTAAAAAAGAGTGTAACCAAACCCTATTCTGTATTTGAGAAACGTTAAAGAAAACACACCTGAAATTTGCTAGGTTCCTTCTTCTTGTCTCCTCCACCAACAGAGATAGTTGCAAAGTACTGGATCACACGCTTTGTGTTCACAGTCTTTCCAGCACCAGATTCTCCACTGGGAATAAAAAATCACTTTTAGAATCTGATCAGGATTTTCAAATAATAAGAATAAAGTTTTAAAAAAGTTATACTCACGTGATCAGAACAGACTGGTTCTCCCTATCTGTAAGAGTGAGACATTGATATATTCACTTTGCATATCATCCAACATCACCAAATCCTCCATCAACAAATTATTCAGTATTCAGGACGTACCAGTCAGCATGAACTGAAAAGCGTTGTCAGAGACAGAGAAGATGTGGGGTGGAGCCTCCATGCGCTTCTTGCCTCTGTAGGCATTGACACAAGATTGGTCGTACACTGGAAGCCACTTGTAGGGGTTCACAGTTGCACAGAACAACCCAGAGTAGGTCTAAAAGACATTATAGACATTTTAAGATGAAGCTCTTTAAGATTTAAGTGTTGTTACTCTGTGCTGCTGTTTCCTCGTTAGTGAGTTTGTCTTACGTAGATCATCCATGCTGCATAACGCTCTTTGAGATTGTACAGCACAGAGGCTTCATTGAGATGGGTCATCATGGCCATGTCCTCAATTTTGTCATACTTGGGAGGGTTCATTGGACAGACATCATCCTCTTTAACAGTCTTCTCCTGCAAAAGGACATTCTTAACAGTGAGAAGTGATCACAATAGACTGTGTGGATGACTTTGACTGTAGTGTACCAACCTCCTCTGTGTCCAAGACTTTGACTGTGACTTTGCCCCCATCTTTCTTAATGATGGTAGCCTTCAGGTACAGCTCTTTGACATCAGTCACATAGCAAGCGCTTTTGGCATCAAAGGGTTTGCTTTGAGCCTCGATTCTCTCCCTCTCAGGCTTGCGAAGGTAAATGGCAGCCTCTCCATAAATGGCCATCTCCGCGTCCGTACTCATGGTGGCGGCTTATGTCTGCATTAAGTAAGACAATGGATGTTTAAAAAGGTTCTGACAATGAAATGTTTAATTCTTTTGGTTGACCAGAAGTAACAAATGGTCTTTTTACTTGTACATTTAACACATATTCCACAGTGTCTTTTCAAAATTAGCATTCAGCTTTGGCATTAAGAATTGGTGACAACCTCATAAACACCTCATTAATTTAACCCATATTTATTTTATTATTCAATTCTTTTACATACCTTAGCTTTTCCTTGTTGAAAAAAAGAATGTTTTGCTCCACAAACCTGTTGAAAATTTTTTTATTGAGTTGATTAAAACCAACTTAATTTTTAAAACTATTACTTATGTTAATGCATCACATTTAAAATAATTGTTTATTTTTTAGTCTTTAATCAAAGTATATAATATTTACTTCTCTGCATACATGCATATACTATAGTCCTAATAGTAGTGAACCTCACCACAAGCAGGATCTTCACTAGTCTTCCACCACACTCTGATGTTTTTCCTCTACCCCTTTTATATGATCCACTTTGCCTACAAGGCAGAGATTGGAGCATGCTTTCAGGCCAAATAAGGTTTCAATGAAAGTTGATTTATGAGACTAAATTTAGAAAAATTCACGCGTAATATAAATTGCTTATAAATTCTCTTGAAACATTTTTGCTGGATACAGGGTTTCATATATCATGTTTCAACTGTGATGTTATGGTTTCCCTAACATAACAAGATTCAAGTTAATTCCATGACGGTTACTTTACTACATTGACTTATCTTCCATCACAGCTGATGTCATTAATTAATCAGTCGAGTTTAATGAATAATTTAAATAATTGTAACAGTCGATGTGAGGAAGAAGAAAACCATTTCCCACTCTATTTTGTTCATTCCATTGTGGTCAAATAGACTAAATCTGACATGTTGAAGCAGCCTAAAAGTAAGTGCTTTATTTATATTTTGAAAATGTTTTATTCATCTTTTGAATGTATTAATTTCTTGAGCCATTTAGTAATGCTCTACATTTCTAAGACACATGTCTGAGATAAAATAGAAACTGTAAATAGTTGGCAGTTGGTATAAAGGTCCTTACATGTACTGAAGCAGTCACTGAGTGCAAATCATTTTTATAGCTGGCTCTTAGCACAGCTTATTCCATTTTCATGTGTATAAAGACACTTATGGGATATGAGATCACGCTTTGACTTGTAAGATAAAATTAATATCAGAGTTCCTCATTTCATTTCATTCATTCATGAGTTACAGTGCCAATAAAAATGAAGAAACCCTGGCACAAGCCAAAACATTTTGACCTTGTCACTCTTCATTACACAGTTTACCATCCAGAATCTGAAATGAATGTGCATACAAATGTTCAGCTTCATGTAAAAGTATATAACGACACCAAGATACTGTATATATTTTTTTTCTATCTTCAGTTTTTTTCCATGTCAAAAGTTGTGCAGTCAGTTAAGTTTCCACTTAACTTGTTTATTTCCGTTGGGAACATGTATGTGTGTGCACTATTTGGACGCTTATCATGATATTTAATTCTTAAGTTACATATCGTGTAATCTAAGAAGTTGTGAAGGTCACTTTATGATGTGCTTGTTAAATTTGTGCATTCTGACCAAACATCTCCACTTTGATCTGCTCTTTCTTCCAGAAGACTTGTGCTTTCTATGGATGCAGCTTTGAAACCCAAAGTCTTGATGCCATATTCATTTTGAGGAGAAGAAGCTTTCTCCTGCCAAAAGAATTAAGTCCAAGTTTTTCAGTATCTATCTGTGCTGTAATGACTTCTAACCTTTAATATGTTAGCTGACACCAGCAGAGTTTGAGATGTTGCTGTTGTGTTTGTTCGGGTTTCCCACTTGTGAGTAACCTTTCTCTCTGTAGAATGATCCTATAAAAGAATTCACCCGTCACACTGGTGCTGCACTCTATCTTAGTATCTGTTTGATATGGTGTAATATGTCCTATGCTTTTGCTCACTTGAGACTGCGTTGACCTAATTTTATTATATGGTTGTAGGGGTCTTGAATGTTTTGTTTTTGGGCCAGGTCAAATCTATCTATCTATCTATCTATCTATCTATCTATCTATCTA